GCACCACTACTTTCATGCTTTTAGTTCATAATACAGAATGCTGCACATAACACTGATTACAGTCTGAACGATAGATAGATAGAAATCTTTCATATCCCTAAAGTCTGTACAACCTAAGCTAAAAGGTTAAAAAGGCAATAAAGCATAATATTTCTCCAGTACCTACATTGGTATTTCTGCCTATTGTTCCGTCATTTCTAATCTTCAAATGCTTCATCACCTAATTCTGTACAACCCTAAATAAATGTCAGTCAATAAAAGTCTCATTCTAAATTATACAGCATAAATCAATGTATTTGACTGTTTTATTGATTAATTAAAACATCCAGTAACCATGTATATTAGGTTGTAATGTGCATGGCATATTGGAATTATACATGACTTTTCTTTGTTTTGATATCGGCATTATATGTCGGCCACTGGTCCCCCTGCTCTCTAAATATCTCACACTGAAAAACAACGACCACTAGTCTGGACTCAACTTATCAAATCTATTTGACACATTTGTTCTGAATGCTGTGTTACATGTTTTTCTTGCTTTTTAATTTCAGGGCAGCGGGAACTGTATTAATACAAACATGCATTCTGATAATAATTAGCTCATTCAAATGTAAAATCCACACATTTTCTGGGACAACTGCTGGGACAAAAAGATTGATTCCACAAAATATGGGTAAGAAAATCAACGCTGGATATTTCTTCAGTACAGTACAGTGCCTTTTAGTGCCTTTCAAAAGCAAGCACACACATACACACACACTCCCCAGGGTGCCCTGATGCCAGAGGTGAGGGCAGTGCCAACTCCAGTGCATGCCAACACAACCTGCTGTCATAGCAACAGAGGGAGGAGCCAGATGACAACCTCTCCATCTTACACCCCTCTGTCCTCATCTCTCCCTTCTTTCCTCTTTGAATACTTGTTTTTCTCTACATCTACTCACCCTTTTATATGCTCTTCAGCCCTCAATCAGTGTGAGTGGGATGAAGAGAGATACACGGGTGTCAGAGCAGAGGAACACAAAGCGATGAGAGAGGCTCACACAGTTGGTGGTGTTTATATTTGCACATGGGTCTGTATGGAACCCCCTACCCACCACAAACCACCCACCTCACACATGGACAGGATAATTATGTCCTCTTATGGATCTCAGAGAGAAGTAGATGGGGGGCCTGTCACAGGAAGTTCCTACAGTGGATATTATAGCTGTTAGGATCATTACCACTCTCAGACTGTGATGAAGACCTCCTGGCTAGGCCAAAGTGTGTGTGCGTTCTGTTGTTAGCATCATATCAAGAAGCAATGTACGCAATAAGATATTACATTCTCAGTGAGTCGCTAAAAGCGCAGGTGCACACGTCTGCCTGGCTCCTCTGCTCTTCTATCCACACTAAGCTACATTTGTTACATCCAACACTGAGCTTTGTGTTGTTATTGAATCCACGTATCCTTTGTTATTTTCACATTCAATATAGAGTCCAAAATCAGAAAACTATTTCTTATTCATTCATGAATCAAAAGCAGCATTTAACAAGCATAGGAAATGAAAAGAACTGAATCTGATTTTGATATTTAATGCGATTTGTGGAACCAGGAAGTTTCCGACTGTGTTGCACTTGATATCCTAACTTTGCAGAAAATACACGGATTTAACGTGATGAATATGAGCCTGAAGTGTTTTGGAAAATGTCACTTTTGTGAACAGATGAACCAGAAACAGGAAGTATCATGTTGCCATGGATACAGTGAGTTAGACTGTGGGCAGCCACGTCATTCTGGAAAATGAAGTTAGCCGAAAGAACAATTAACTGTTCATTTGTACTGTGTGGCATCGGATGTACTGACAGCTACCACAGAATAACAATGATACCGAAGAAATCTTAAAAACAGGAGGATTCTCTGATGTTCTGAAGCCATTCCTGTCCCAGTGCATGTATCAGCTGCAAACTGAGCAACACAGTTTTATTCAACAAAACACTCATGTTGATGTTTGAGCTTCGTACATTTAATCAGACATTTACTACATGCAAGTTTATCAAGTGCAAGACACAAATCAGACACATTAAATATCTAAATCCATTCTGGGCTGTGGCTCCTTATTTGACCTGAGCATAAAATCAAAAGTACAAAAAATAATCCGTCATTTGTTTTTTGTTCTGGATTTATAACAAAATAAACAAAAAATAACAAAATGTTTTTTTAATTTTCTGATTTTGGATTGAACATAAAAAGAACAAATGCTAATATGGACTGTTAATGACTTGCATTTCATTACTCTCATACGTCAAAAGCATAGCACAGTTGAGCTGTTCATTCATTAACCTGTGCTATGTTTATGCTGTCAGAGATCTTTGCAAGCAGAGAACGTCTCAGTGCAGCAGAGCAGCAATTACACTTCATCTTGGTTCACAAGAAGCATTTATGGTCCACAATTCATTCTATACTCGTGTAGTTGACTGACAACAGAAA